ACATGGCATTTCGTGGACAGGGCAAAAAGCAAGGGTATAAAGGGTGTCCGAGTCTCCTTAAACTTCTGCTTTCTGCTCCCCGCCGCCCAGCTGTTTGGGGCTTTAATGTGCAGTCCGACTGCACAAGAAACCCCGAAAAACAGCTGAGCAGCAGGGAACAGGCTGCTCCTTGCTGCTCAGCTGTTTTTTTGGGGCTTTCTGCAAACCCTGTTGTGTGGTCCCTTTCAACAGGGTTTGCTGCGAACCACGAACCAGTTCGTTTTGCCAGCGAACTTTATGGTTTTGTTTGTTGTTTGGCCATGAACCAACACGAACTGCATTTTTCCGATTTGTATGCATTCCTATTCTTGACCCCATGCTGTACTACACCCTTCCCCATTATTTGCCCGCTGTGTATTTCTGGAGGGACAGTCAACCTAGCTTGGAATGGCTGAATGTGTGGGTACAAAGAAGAAGCATAACTTTGTGTTTGTGTTTTTCCTAATCACAAGGACCTCTGATTGCAAAACCTGATCGCATATCCTGGCTAGAAGAAGAGGAAGAACTGTTTCTCCGGATCTCTAAAGAAGAGGAGAGATCGGCAGGTAGCTGCTAAGATACCTGCTTGCTTTTCCTTCCAGGGGCTGGTGGATCCCTGTGGCCTTGTTTATCCTCTCCACATTTTACTCCCACCCACCCGCATGGAGCAGTGTTGTGAAGGGTGACATGCATGCACTATGCCAATATGAAATCCATCCTCTTGCAGAGGAAGTCTTGGCCTTCCCGGTATATTTTAAAACTTATTCAGGATTCCTCTCCTCCAGTTAACATTTGACTGCCTGTTCCCTGGAGCACCAAGTGGAGACACTGGTTCAACACCCCAAGGGTTCGCAGCTGACCCTCCTGTGGAGTCGGGGGAAATCACAGATCCACCGGGGGGGGGGGGCAGCCAGGCTGTGCTAGAGCTAACGCAGATGAAGCCCAGACCCCAGGTGAAAATCTGGCTCTTGAGGGGAGGGTGAGCTGCTTCTCCCACCCTCCTTCTTTCTCTCCATTCCCAGACAGCAGCGAAGAGACTCCCTGGATGCCTTCTTCAGCCTCACCTCCGTGTGGTGAAGGGAAAAGAGCCGCCATGCAGCCAGCTCAGGTACGCATTGGGGGGGGACCAGTGGGGAGATGTGTAGGGGAGGGCAGGCCTGCTTCCTTTTCTGTTGCAAGGCTCAGAGCCTCGGGCTCCTTCCTCTGGCTTCTGGCGCTGAGCCTCGGGGAGGCAGGAAACTGGTGGCCCCCCTTCTAGGATGGGGGGGGTTCAGAGAAGCCCACGCAGCAACTGTGAAACTAGACTGGACCACGGACTTCCCAAGAAGCACTTTTTGGTCCTTTCACACATTTACATCTCTGGCCTCTTCCCCACAGCTCTGGTAACCTCCCTCCACGGGAAAAGCCGCTCTGGCCCCAAGATGCCCCCAAGGAAGATGGGGGGGAAGGAGAGTGTCCTCACAAGTCTCTTCTCCCGCCTTCTTTGTGTTGCTCCGCCAGTCTTAATTGACCACCTCTGTTTCCGGCTTTCCCCCCTGCATGGACCAGTTTTCTGATGATGTAAAGAAATGCTTCCTCCTTCTTGCAGGTTGGGGTGTCCTTTGAAGAGGTGGCCGTGTATTTCAGCCCGGGGGAGTGGGCCCTGCTGCGCCCAGCCCAGAGAGCTCTCTACAAGGAAGTCATGCTGGAGAACTTTGGGAACGTGGCCTCTCTCGGTGAGGATCTTTTTTGTTCTTTGCTGAATGAGTTCTTATTGTTGTGAGGGGTGACTGTAAGGTGGTCGGGGAGTCTGCCCTGGTCCCGATGGCTGGTCTCAGCCACCTTCCACGACCTTTCCTCTGATGCAGGGAGGGGTTCTGAGGGGCCGAGGGATGTTTGGTGTGGAGAAGGTGGGGCGGTCTAAAGGAGAGGCTTCCTGCTTGAGCCTTTCCTTAACCTGGGCTGAGATGTGGCTGAGGAGAAGACTCGGCTGGCTTCTCTGCCACTTTACTTCATTTTCAGCTGGCGTTTCCCTCCCAGCTGGGCAGGGAGCAGGCGCAGAAATGCCAGTGCCAGATTGGTGGTTCTTGCCCCATACTGTACTCCACCCCATCCCTGTGACTTGCCTATTGTGTATATCTGGAGGGAGAGTCTACCTGGCATGGAATGAACATAAGAACATAAGAGACGCCAATGTTGGATCAGGCCAAAGGCCCATCCAGTCCAACACTCTGTGTCACACAGTGGCCAGAAATACCAGGTGCCATCAGGAGGTCCACCAGTGGGGCCAGGACATTAGAAGCCCTCCCACTGTTGACCCCCCCCCAAGCACTAAGAAGACAGAGCATCACTTGCCCCAGAGTCCCTATCTATACCTTGTGGCTAATAGCCACTGATGGACCTCTGCTCTGTATGCTTATCTAATTCCCTTTTGAAGCCGTCCATGCTTGTAGCCGCCACCACTTCCTGTGGTGAATGGCTGAATTGATGGGCAGGCACATTAAGTTATAATTTTGTGTCTTTTTTCCTGATCAAAAGGACCTCCAATCGCCAAACCTGATCTCATATCCTGGCTGGAAGAAGAGGAAGAACTGTTTCTTGTGATCGCTGATGAAGAGGAGAGATTGACAGGTAGCTGCTTTCATGGGATGGTGTGTTCCCGCCATTTCCTTACCAAGGGCTGGTGGGTTTCCCTGGCCTCCTTGATCCTCACAGTTTGAGTTTCTCCTCCAAAGAGCTTGGCTGAGTTGTGAATGCTAAAATACCGTGTTTCCCCAAAAATAAGACAGTGTCTTATATTAATTTTTGCTCCCAAAGATGCACTAGGTCTTATTTTTAGGGGATGTCTTATTAAGAAGAATACGGTATTGTCCTGGCTTGTCCTGGCAGCGGTGCAGGCTCTCTGATTAAAAGAGACCTCGCACTTCCTGTGTGCTCAGGGGGGCCTTATTATCAGGGAGGTCTTATTTTCGGGGGATTCCTTATATTTCAGCGAGAGGCAAAACTGTAAGTAGGTCTTATTTTTGGGGGATGTCTTACTTTCGGGGAAACACGGTAGTCCCTGTAGATCTTGAACCTATGAAAATAGGCGACTTCCTTCTACCAACTCAGATCGCTTTTACACCAAGTCCAGCTCAGTACTGCCCAGTCTGAGAGGCCTGGGTGTTTCCCGGCCCTTTTTCACTCGAGATCCCTTTAACTGACGACGGCTGGCCTTGATCCTGGGTTGCTGTCCCTGCAATGCAAAGCATGTGCTTTTCCCACAGAGATGTGGCCCAAAGCAGCTCCCATGTGAACACATTCCCCTCCACACACACACACACAGAGAAGAGCACTCTAAGTATTCTGAAGTCTCTGGCAAATACATTGTGCCAGGATAGAATCCAGCCTCTTCCAGAGGAAATCCTGGCCGTCCCCGTGTATTTTAAACCCTACCCAGAATTTTCAAACTTCCGATTGACAGTGATTGCACGTTGTCGGGAGCAGTCAGACAGGAAGCTGATGTGCAGGAGGGGTCTTAGCAGGGAGCGGGGCTCCGTTGGAGCACCGGATGAGGAACAGATGAGCCCCTGGCTCTTGTGGGAGGCAGGAGTGCTTCTCCCTTCAGCGTTGGTGCGAGACTGACAGCCGCCCCTCTTTGTGCATCTCACAGTGAATTTCTCATTCCCTTTTTGACTGTAAACTTGATCCTTTAGTTTTTTTCCATTCCAGGTTTTTTCCCATCTCTGTTTGCTAAAGGGGACGTAGGGTTGCTGGGTCTGAAGCCTTCCTTTATCATACTGGAAGAAAGGAGAGAGGACGGTGGGGTAGCCTTCCGAGGATGGGTCGTTCCAGCCCTGTTGGGAAAAAGTGTTTTACAAGTGTTGTACAAGTTTTACAAGTGTTGTAAAAATTTTACAAGTGTTTTTTTAACAAGTTTTTTACAAGTGTTTTTAACAAGTATTTACAAAAGTTTTACAAGTGTTGTAAAATGACCCTGCAGGCCTATTTTTGCCACTGGGAATGAGGGATTTATGCTGCTTCAATGGTCTCAAGAGGCTAGACCTCAGCAAGGAGTTCCCCTGCATCCAGCCTTTGTCCCACTCCAGTCCTCTTTCTTGTTTCTCACATCTACCACCCTAGGCCTCTAAGAGGCTCACAGTCTGCTTGCCTGAAACAGATTCTCCTTTATAGTATCAGAATCTCCCCTTTACAGCTGCCAAGGTGGAGATAGGAGAAAGTTCTTGGAACTCAAGTTGTTAGAGAGATTCTCCACACTGTAGGAGCCAGAGAAGGAGGCTTTGTTCAAGTGCAGAGACCAAAATGACAACAGTTTCAGAAATAGGACTGTTTATTATACAGAGTGTAGCATGAAATGGAGGCACAAAGAACAAACCATTGAACTCCACAAGACTAACTCATCTGAGCATAAGAAAATCCAATACGTAAGAACACACCCTGTCTCCCCACACTTCTTTAATGTATAAAGACAGAGGCCACATTAAATTATTGGTTCCAGATCAGCTGTTCAGATTAAAATCACCCCAGTTACCTTATTCATCATCATGCAAAGTCATCACCACACACGGTTTTTCTTTCTTTCTTCAGTTTAAAATTACCCCAGTTTTTTATTCATCACCACACAAGGTCATCATCACAAATGGTTTTTCTTTCTTTCAGCAGGAGTAGTGTCGGAATCAGCAGATGAAGTGTCTGAGCACCTTGAGATACAGAAAGTGGATGCATATTCAGACGTGAAAGACAAACTTGAGTATAGTGATACACTGAGGAACGAGGAGGAAAAGCATCCATATGAAGGGAGAAATACTTCTAGTCTTCTACAGGGCAGTGACTCTCTACCACAAAAAATATACATAGGAAAGAACAGGAATATGTGTATTGCAAGTGGGGAAATTGTTAATATTCAATGGAACTCCGATGATGAATGGAAAATTTATAAATGCCTGGAGTGTGGGGAAAGCTTTAGTCAGAGTGCAAACCTTGCTTCCCACAAAATAATTCACACAGGGGACAAACCATATAAATGTACTGAGTGTGGGAAAAGCTTCAGTCTGAAGAAGATCCTCACTGTCCATCAAAGAATTCACACGGGGGAGAAGCCATATAGATGCCTGGAATGTGGGAAAAGCTTCAGGGTGAGTGGAAACCTTACTGTCCATCAAAGAATTCACAGAGGGGAGAAACCATATAAATGCCTGGAGTGTGGGAAAAGCTTCACTCAGAGTGGAAAACTTACTTCCCATCAAAGAACTCACACAGGGGAGAAACCATATAAGTGTATGGAGTGTGGGAAAAGCTTCACACAAGCTGGGAATCTTCATGTCCATGAAAGAATTCATGGATTGGAGAAACCACATAAAAGCCTAGAGTGTGGGAGAAGCTTCACTCTATGCGGAAACCTTACTTCCCATCAAAAAACTCACACATGGGAAAAATCATATGAATGCCTGGAGTGTGGGAAAAGCTTCAGGGAGAGTCGGAGCCTTAGTTCCCATCAAAGAATTCACACAGGAGAGAAACCATATAAGTGCCTGGAGTGTGGGATAAGCTTCAGTGTGAGGAAGAACCTTATTGGCCATCAAAGAATTCACACAGGTGAGAAACCATATAAATGTATGGAGTGCGGAAAAAGCTTTAATTTGAGGAAGAGCCTTACAGGTCATCAAAGAATTCACACAGAGGAGAAGCCGTATAGATGCCTGCTATGTGGAAAAGGCTTCAAGGTGAGTGGAAACCTTACTTCCCATCAAAGAATTCACACAGGTGAGAAACCATATAAATGTATGGAGTGTGGGAAAAGCTTCAATCTGAGGAAGAGCCTTACTGGCCACCAAAGAATTCACACGGGGGAGAAGCCGTATAAATGCCTGCAATGTGGAAAAAGCTTCAGTCTGAGAGGAAACCTTGCTTCCCATCAAAGAACTCACACAGGTGAGAAACCATATAAATGTATGGAGTGTGGGAAAAGCTTCAGTCTGAGGAACAGTTTTACTCGCCATCAAAGAATTCATACGGGGGAGAAGCCGTATAGCTGCCTGCAATGTGGAAAAAGCTTTAGTCTGAGGGCCAGCCTTACTAACCATCAAACAGTTCATACAGGGGAGAAGCCGTATAGATGCCTGCAATGTGGAAAAATCTTCAGTCGGAGTGGAAGCCTTACTTGCCATCAAAGAATTCATACAGGGGAGAAACCATATAAATGCCTGGAGTGTGGGAAAAGCTTCAGTCAGAGGGGAAAACTTACTTCTCATCAAAGGATTCACACAGGGGAGAAGCCATATAAATGCCTGGAGTGTGGGAAAAGCTTCAGGGTGAGTGGAAGCCTTACTTCCCATGAAAGAATTCATACAGGGGAGAAACGATATAAATGCCTGCAGTGTACGAAAAGTTTCAGTCGGAGTCACCACCTTATTTCCCATCAAAGAATTCACACGGGAAAAACCGTGTAGACCCCTATAGAGTAGAAAAAACTTCATTCAAGGTGGAGACCTTCTTGTCCATCAAACAATTCATAGAGGGGAGAAACCACATAAATCCCTGGACTATGAAAAAGGCTTCTCTAAGTGTACACTCCTTGCTTCCTGTCAAAGCATTTACTCAGGGGTGAAGCGATATAAATGCCTGGAGCGTGGAAAAAACTTAGGACTGAGGGGAAACCTTACTTATATTCTGTAAGGCTTCAGAAATTAACAGCCAGAGTTTGAGAACCTGCAATCCACAGCCTAGCTACCCTGCCGGCCTCCATGGTTCCGTGGGGGAAGGGGAACTCGTGCCACTCTGCAAGGCCCAGATTGCCCAGTGAACAAGCTAGAGTCCTTTGCACCTACAGCAACACCCACCAACCAGCAAGGGTTCCTGCTGACATCCCTCTGAGCGACAGAAAGGGGTGTAGCTAAACCCCCCTTCCTGTTCAGTGCTAGAGGACAGGGTTGAAACCACCCGAAAGACCTGTGATTTCTGTGATACTCCTTTGCACCCCACAGTTGAGGCACATAGGGTTTCCAGCCTCCGAAGTGGGGCCTGGAGTCCTTTTGGAATTACACCTGAACTCCAGACCAGATGGCAGACCCTAAGGTATCCCATTCCCCAAGACAGAACTGGCAAGAAAGAATGTTTGCAAACTCACAAGAAACAAAGTCTGGTTCTGGGTTTTCATGGCAAATTCTTTTCTTCATCCTAAACTTTAGATGCTTCCAGAGTGTTGGACTAGATGGGCCATTGGCCTGATGCCACATGGCTTCTCTTATGTTCTTAACTAGAATGACTTTTTTCTCTCTGTCCTCTATCAAAATTGCCATGTAAGGGTCTCACCAGACTGGTGGCCTTCAGTCAGAGAAGATCTTACCTTGGGTGAATGTATCTTGTGTGCCGGGCTTCCGATTTTGTGTAACGTTCTGCCAATCCATTGAAAACCTGATTTGCTTTCATCTTAAGAGAACTGTCATTCTTACATATTTAGATAAGGTTGAGAAATGTTACTAGACCTAATTTTTATTACATACATTTCCCCTGTACTTGTAGGATTCATCTGCTCCTGTTTATAGTGATCAACTTCTTTCCTTAAAAAAAAAAAAAAGATTGATACTTTAGTTTCAATAAAATAGTTAACTTCAAGAAATTCTCTGTTTGTTCTGCTGGCCCAAGATCTCCCATATGGGCTCCACTGTTTGGCCAAATGTCTAACATCTGATGAATAAGATTTCATTGTTCTGTGAGAGATACGTCTCTCTCAGAGAGTTTGTCTTCAACAGACCTAATGGGGATTCTGCAGCTGATTTCAGCTAATGAGGCTTGAACTGTGCCAGAGCTGGGCTTGGTGTAGATCCCTAGTTCAGCTGCTAACTGAATAATTCATCCCAATGACTTCAACACTGGATAGGGCAATGAACATTTCTTGGGCAAAACCTAAACCCCCTTGCTTACATCTGTGCCCGCCGTGCCTGCCTACAGAGCTGTGGCAAAAGTCAGGCAGGGCTGCCAAGGCCCACCATGCCCCCACCCCATGATCCAAATGTGTGTTTTGTAAGTTTAGATTTTTACACACCTATGTGCACCGATACAGGATACATCTGATAAAGTGGTTCACAAAAACTTCAGATCATCCTAAATCTTTAGTAAATCAATTGGTAAGAAATCTATTAAAGTTTTACTCCTGTACCTTTAGTTCACACAAAAGCAGAGGCAAACTGGTAATGTTATGGTACTAGATGAGAAGTACCTACCTTGCGAATGTGGCGCTCTGGGATCACTTTGTGTTACGTAAGATCTCGAATGGTACTTTAATGTCTCAGTCAGAGAAACAATTAGAAGATTTCATAGCTGTATGGTACGCTGTGACAGAATATCTGAAGGAACGTAAGGCTATTCCTAAAAACAAGTATTACAAAGACTGGCTCTTCGTCTGAATTTGTATAAAGAGTTAAACTTCTGTGCGACTGTCCTTTGTGTTAATAGACTGCATATAATGTGGGAATTGTAACATTGCCGAATACTGTGATGATAAGGTTGTCCAGATTCCTTTTATGTTTATTATGTTAAAATGTTATGTTATAGTTGAATTTATACTGTTTATCCTAAAATAATAAAAAAAAAAATACTTAACAAAAGAGAAGTCGTATTGGGATCACTGAGATTGATTTAAGTAATATTTTCTCCTTCCTTCCTTCCTGTTCGGTGTAGAGCTAGTTTGGTGTAGTGTCCAAAGCATGCCTAGAAAACTAGCATGCCTGGGGAAAGGCGAAGCTGAAGCTCTTCTCCCTAACATCTAGTTATCTATATGCAGAAGGGTTTGTTTTGTTTTATTTTGTTACTGGGGCAGCAGACTGAGTAGAGTGGGGGGGCGGCAGCGGAGGCAGGACTAGCAGCGCACGGAAGTCTCCCTGTTGAACCTTCACTTGCAGGACAGCAAAACCCAGAGAAGTGCAGCCATGGCAACCGGGCATGAGCACCATGCTGGGCTCAGCCACGGACGTGACCCCCTGGTCGGGTCTGTACATGCAGCCCAATGGGAGGGGGGCTTCACCCAGAACACTCTTTGAGGTAGAGGATGGGGCCCTCCAAACTGCATTCACTCAAGCTTTGACCCTGCAAGGGAATGAGTCAAAGGGTCACCTGGCAGGCCGATCCACTATGTAGAGGGGGGCAGTTCCCGGGCCCCCAAACCACCAATGAGCTCTGTCCTCTGACAACGGGTGTGTGTGGGGGAGAGACTGGAAAAAGACTGAGCCCCCCCCCCCCGAAGTTCTTTTCCCATTGCATGACAGGGGCCATGGTGCCGTGAGGCCATGGCTTGTGACACCCCCACATGAATGCAATGCTGGGCTTGAGTGCGGGAGGCGCTGGGCAGCACCTAACCGCAACTGAGGAGAACAGGGAGCAGGTTTAGGTTCCTCAGCCTTGCTTATCCGTCCATGCATGGTTGCCCCTTTGGGTCAAGTCTCCAGAGATGGAGTAACTCCTAGGGTCCTGAACAGTGTTCCCTCTAAGCTGAGTTAGTGTGAGCCAGCTCACAGTTTTTTAGCCTCCGGCTCACACATTTTTGTCTCAGCTCAGGAAGGAGGGCTCCAGAGCAAACTAGTTTATGCAGCAGCCAAATCACTTGTTCACAACTTTAATTCCAGTCGCTCACAAAGTGGAATTTTTGCTCACAAGACTCCACAGAGGGAGCATTGGTCCTGAAATGGGAGATCCTTAGATCTCACCGTCAGTTCTTTCTCTCTGCCTTTGCCTTCCTGCCAGGGGAGTTGTCCAGGCTGACCCTGCCTTGGTGAGGTAACGTAACCAAATTGTACCTGGGTTTGGTCTCAGAAACTCTCCAAATAGCTCTCACAGAATAAAGAAGACGAAAGCTTTATTGAAGAAATTCAACAAAAAGGCTTAAACACAAGGCATCCAGTTCAGTGGCAGTAAAAAACCAAGACAGCGAACTAGCTTCCTTTTTGTTGTTGTTGTTGTTGTTCAGTCACACAGTTGAGTCTGACTCTTTGCAACCCCACGGAGGACCCACAGTGGCTGAAATCATTCTCCTCTCCTCCTCCTGCCCTCTGGCTCTGCTTGCTGTGCTACATTCCCGCAACAGGGATTTTTGACACAGGAAAGCATCCCATAACTTGCTTCCCTGCCTGCAATCTGAAATGAAGCTGTCTTGAGTCATAAGAACATAAGAGACGCCAATGTTGCATCAGGCCAAAAGCCCATCCAATCCAACACTCTGTGTCACACAGTGGCCAGAAATACCAGGTGCCATCAGGGGGTCCAGCAGTGGGGCCAGGACTCCAGAAGCCCTCCCACTGTTGACCCCCCACCCCCAGCACCAAGAAGACAGAGCATCACTTGCCCCAGTGTCCCTATCTATACCTTGTGGCTAATAGCCACCGATGGACCTCTGCTCCATATGCTTATCTAATGAATCCACCTTTGGGGAAAGGGGGCTTAAATAACACTGCAAATCAAATGAGAAGAGGAGGAGGAGGAGGAGGAGATTGGATTTATACCCCGCCCTTCACTACCCAAAGGAGTCTCAGAGCAGCTTACAATCTCATTTCCCTTCCCCTCCCCACAGCAGACATCCCGTGAGGTAGGTGGTTCTGAGAGCTCTTTCGAGACTACTCTTGAGAGATAGATCTTGGCATTGTAGAACCTGACATTACTGGAGAAACGTCAGGTTCTACAATGCTAGGACCATGGCCATACAACCCGGAAAATCCACAGCAACTAAAGTAGTGTAAGGCTTAAGGTAAAGGTAAAGGTTCCCTTGCTCGAAAGCCAGTCGAGTCCGACTCTAGGGTTGCGGTGCTCATCTCCGTTTCAAAGCCGAAGAGCCAGCGCTGTCTGAAGACATTTCCGTGGTCATGTGGCTGGCATGACTAAACACCAAGGCGCACGGAACGCTGTGACCTTCCCACTGAAGTGGTCCCTATTTATCTACTTGCAATTTCTTGCTTTCGAACTGCTAGGTTGGCAGGAGCTGGAACTAGAGACAGGAGCTCACCCCGTCTTGCGGCACCCGGGTCTCGAACTGCTGAACTACTGACCTTCCACAGCCTGCAGTTCAGCGTCTTAACCACTTGAGCCACCGCAGCTCCTAGTGTAAGGCTTAGAGATTGCTTAAAAAGCTAACATATTATGATAGTAAGCACGGCATTTAGATTTGTATGTATGTATGAGGTAGGTTAAAAGATAAAGATAAAATATTACAGGTATAACTCATATATGTGTGTATGTCTGTTTGTCATGTTTTTTTTGAAAACAAAAATTTCTAAAAAAAAAGTTAATAAAAATCAAATTTGCATCTCTTTCAATAAAAACTTGTGTGTAATATTTGTTCATGCCTTGCAACTCTCAAACAAATGATGTTTATTCTATGTGGCTCTTATGTTAGGCAAGTTTGGCCACCCCTGTTTCAGACCCACCATAGCCACCCACCTGAATCCAACTCCCCACAACAGGCACCTTGTGAGGTAGGCGGTGCTGAGAAATCTGACAAAACTGTGACTGGCCCAAGGTCACCCAGCAGGGTTCCTGTGGAGGATATTAGAGGATATTAGAGTCCCCCACTCTTAACCACTAAACCACGCTGGTTCTCCCCACAACAGGCACCTTGCAGGGAATTCACATATACCTCCACCCCACACCCCCAGCGACCCCTGTTCCATGGCCAGAAGATGGCAAAAAAACCTACAGGATCCCTGGCCAAACTGGCCTGGAGAAAAATTGCTTCTGGACCCCAAAGAGGATTTCTTGGAGTTAACTATTTTACTGAAACGAATGACTCTTTTGAAAAGAAGAAGAAAGAACTTGATCGATACAAACAGGTGCAAATTAATCCAACAAGTGCAGGAAAAATGCATGCAATATCAGCTCTAGTAACATTTCTCAAACTTAGCTAAATATTGCAAGCATCACAGTTCTCCAAGATGAAAGCAAATCAGGTTTCTTCTCTCATTACCAATGCCTGCTATTGTCATTTGGCCCCTGAAATCACTTAACCCTTCAAGACATAAGGGACAGATGGACTCACATTCTAGCTGTATCTGAAGAAGTGAGCAGTGATTCATAAAAGCTCATGTCCTACCACAAATTTTGTTAGTCAAGGTGCTACTGGACTCTTGCTCCTTTCCACTAATAAAGATTGTGAGCTGTGCTGTTTTCTTTTTTTTTCATGTCAGAACAGGAGAGGGGTATCTCTCCAAGTGAAATAATGTGTTGATTTCAGACTGGGCAAAATCCACTCAATGCTAGTGATAATAATGAAACAGTTTAAAAAGCGGGGAAGGGGGTGTTAATGCGAGGAAAGGCAACCAGTGAGGTGGGAGGGGAGAGATTGAGACGTGTTAAACTGAAATATCTGGAACCATAGATGTATTTTTAAAATATGTAGCCATCTACTTCCAGTAATTAAACAATAGAATTGAATCCAAGTGTTGTAATTCCTAATCAGGGTCTTTTTGAAAGAAAATTCCAGACAGGCACAGAGAAATCTAATCTTAAAAAAACCCAACAACTATTTTCAGAATAAGCCATAATAATTTCTTTTTAATTCCCTTTATCCCAGATGCATCTCTTTCCTGCCCCCTTCCTTTTTTAACATGTATGCGTGTGATCAGGTCTAAAGTAAAAAGCGGAGCAGGGCAATCTTAATGTAATTTGTTTTTGTCAGAAGAATCCCCCTCGCTCCCTCTCTTTCTTTGAAGAAGTGTGTGTGCACACAAAAGCTTCTACCGGGAATAAAACTTTGTTGGTCTTAAAGTGCCACAGGACTCTGTCTCTCTCTCACGCGTGCACTCTCCCTTCCCTTCCCTCACTTACTCCTCAAAGGAGGGGGAGGAGACCTCAGCCAATGGAGGGAAGGGAGGCTTGGCTTTGTTTGTCTCCCAGCATGATTGAGGAAGACAGGTGAAAGCAAACTGCAAGGCAAAGATGGCAGCAACAGCCCCAGGGATGGAAGCAGGAGAGAGTCAGTTGATTGAGCAACAGATGCAAGCTCTGCAGGGGTTGGTTCCAACCTGTGGGCCATGTTTGACATCCCTGCCTTAGGTTCTGCCATCTGGTCTGGAGATCAGGTGTAATTCCAGATTCATTCATTCATTCATTCATTCATTCATTCATTCATTTTTATTACGGTCAGAGACCCATTAAACAGCATACAGGTGTAATTCCAGAAGAACTCCAGGCCCTACTTGGAGATTGGAAACCCTATGTGACTCATCTGTGGGGTGCAAAGGAGTTACACAGAAACCACAGGTCTTTCTTGGGGTTTAAACCTTGTCCTCTAGCACTGAACAGGAGGGGGTCAAGAGGTTGCAGGAAGCTTTCTACTGCTCAGAGGGATGTCAGTAGGTTGTTGCTTTAGCTGCTAAGGACTCTGGTCCATTCAACGGGCAATCCCGGCCTTGCAGAGTGGCACATGTTCCCCTTCCTGCACAAAATGTCCATGAGGAGGGAACCAATGAATCCGGCAGTGTAGCTAGGCTGTGGATTACAGGTTCCCAAACTCTGGCTGTTAATTTCTGAAGCCTTAAAGCAGGGGTGTCAATCTTTGTTATGAGGGCTGAATCTGACATAAATGGGACTTTGTCGGGCCAGGTCATGTGTGTCATAAAATGTAATGCAAGGTAGCGGAGATAAAAACTTCATAAAGGACACAGATAAACACAATTATATTTTTAATTTAAAATAAAACATGCTTCAAACATTAGCACTCTTACAATATTTTGTTTATTTAACAACAATGTCTGTGCTGTAGCCATCTTGAGTATGCTGTTCAGGTGTGTAAAGTTGAAAACCTACTTTTGATTTATTGACATTCATTACAGAAATCTCATGATCTAAGCCTAAGACCCAGAGGTAAACATGAAATGGCTGGGCATTGCGAGCTTTTGTACATAAGTTGTTTTGTGGGCTGGTCAAGAACATGAGAAAGCATCATGATACAGAATGAGGGCTACGTGTTTGTCTACAAAACTATAGTCTTCCCCAGGGAAATAATTACAACTCCTATGAGGCAGTGCAATAGAGAGACAGCAATATATATTGTGGTCAGTATCAGCCTACTATCTGGGAAGTCTAAGTCCACAAAGGAAATGTGCTGGGTGAACTTGGTCTGAACACATACTCTCAGCCTAATCCACCTCACTGTCTTGTTGCTATTTTTCATCTAAATAGTTCACATTACTTTCCTACTGAGAAAGACTGGATCATAAGGGCATGAATACAGTGAAAAAGAGGAAGGAAACCCCGTTGCATCCAGGAGAGCAGTGGCATAACCAGCCCAACAAAACACACACGTTCTCTCTGTAGAAAGGCAAAAAAACTCATACCTTGAAGAAAACTTAGTTAGTCTTAAAGGTGCTTTGTATCTCTCCAGTGCGACTGAAGGAACTCAGCAAAGTTTCTCTCCCTCCCTAGGGGATGAGGGGGAGGAGCCTCAGCCAAAGGAGGAGACACTTGGCTCAGTAGCTCTGCTGTACAATTAAGAGAGCCTGGCAAAGCAAATCTTTCCCTCCCTCTTGCTCCCTCTCTTCCTCTCCAAGGGAGGAGGAGCCTCAGCCAATGGAGGGAAGAGAGGCTTTGCTCTGTAGCTCCTGTACAATACAGAGAGCCTGGCAAAGCGAGTTGTGACACAGAAGGAAGCAGGAGAGAGGGAGAAGGAAACAGAAGAGAGCCAGTTGCTGGATATGAGCCCTGTGGGGGCTGGATCCAGCCTACAAGCTACATGTTTGACATCCCTGCCTTAAAGAATATAAGTAAGGTTTCCACTATATCCTAAGGTTTTTCCATACTCCAGGTATTTATATAGTTTCACTCCTGAGTGCATTCTTATTCTACTCTATAGGCATCTACATAGTTTTTCCCGTGTGAATTCTTTGATGGGAAGTAAGGTACTTGTACTGATGCTTTTCCCACACGCCAGGCATTTATTTGGTTTCTCCCCTGTGTGAATCCGTTGATGGGAAAGAGGTTTCCACTCAGACTGAAGCTTTTCCCACATTCCAGGCATTAATATGGTTTCTCTCCTGTGTGAATTCTTCGATGAGAAGTAAGGTTTCCACGTACAGTGAAGCTTCTCCCACACTCTAGGCATTTATAAGGTTTCTCCCCTCTGTGAATTCTTTTATGAGCATGAAAATTCCCACCTTGTGTGAAGCTTTTCCCACATTTCAGGCATCTATACGGCTTCTCCCCTGTGTGAATCCTTTGATGAGAAGTAAGTTTTCCCCTCTGATTGAAGCTTTTCCCACATTTCAGGCATCTATACGGCTTCTCCCCTGTGTGAATTCTTTGATGGCTAGTAAGACTGTCCCTTACCCTGAAGCTTTTCCCACATTCTATACATTTATATGGTTTCTCCCCTGTGTGAATTCTTTCATGGGAAGCAAGACTTCCTCTCTGACTGAAGCCTTTTCCACACTCTAGGCACTGATAAGGTTTCTCCCCTGTGTGAGTCCTTTGATGACAAACAAGGCCTCCACTCTGAGTGAAGCTTTTCCCACACTCCAGGCATTTATATGGTTTCTCCCCTTTGTGAATTCTTTGATGGGGAATAAGTTCCGTACTCCATCTGAAGCTTTTCCCACACTCTAAGCATTTATATCGTTTCTCCCCTGTGTGAACTTTCTGATGAGAAGAAAGCTGTCCACTATTACTGAAGCCTTTTCCACATTCCATGCATTTATATGGTTTCTCCCCTGTGTGAATTCTTCGATGGCAAGTAAGGTTTCCAGTCTGACTGAAGCTTTTCCCACACTCCAGGCATTTATATGGTTTCTCCCCTGTATGAATTCTTTGATGGCAAGTAAGGCTTTTATGGTCACTTAACATTTTCCCACACTCCAGGCATTTATATGGTTTCTCCCCTGAGTGAACTTTTTGATGAGTAGCAAGGTTTCCACTCTTGCTGAAGGCTTTTCCACACTCCAGGCATTTATATGGTTTGTCCCCTGTGTGAATTCTTTTGTGGGAAGCAAGGTTTCCACTCTGACTAAAACTTTTCCCACATTCCAGGCATTTATATGGTTTTTCCCCTGTGTGAATTCTTTGGTGGCAAGAAAGAGCCCCACTCCCACTGAACCTTTTTCCACATTCAGGGCATTTATATGGTTTCTCCCCATTGTGCATTCTTTGATGGGAAGTTAGCATATCTTTTCGCTTAAAACTTTTCCCACAGTCCAGACATTTATATATTTTCTTTTCGTCATTGGAGTTCCATTCAACATTAACAATTTCCCCACTTGGAGTACACATATTCCCATTTTTTCCATTGCATATTTTTTGCTGTATAGAGTCCTGTAGAAGACCAGAAGTATTTCTCTCTTTATATGGATGCTTTCCCACTTTATTCCTCAAGGCATACCTATATTCATGTTTGTCTTTCACATCTGAATATGCATCCACTTTCTTTATCCAGAGGTGCTCAGATGGTTCACCTGCTGTTTCCAGCACACCACCTGCTGAAAGAAAGAAAAACCATGTGTGATGCTGACCTTGTGTGATGATGAATAAAAAAACTGGGCTGATTTTAATCTGAACAATTGATCTGGAACCAATAATTTAATTTGGCCTGTCTTTATACATTATAGAGGTAAGTGTGGGGAAACAGGGTGAGTTTTTACACACTGGATTTTCTTATGATCAGATTAGATAGTCTTATGGTATTCAATGGTTTGGTTTTTGTCTCCACTGTACGCCACACTCTGTATGATTAAACAGTCCTCTTTCTGAAACTGTTAAGGAGAGTCTGTTCCAGGCAAGCAGACTGTGAGCCTCTTAGAGGCCTAGGGTGGTACATGTGAGAAACAAGAAAGAGGACTGGAGTAGGACAAAGGCTGGATGCAGGGGAACTCCTTGCTGAGGTCTAGCCTCTTGAGACCATTGAGACCATTGCAAGCAGCATAAATCCCTCATTCCCAGTGGCAAAAAAGAGCCTGCAGGGTCATTTCACCACAGTTTCCCCCATTAGTGCTGGAACGACCCATCCCCGGAAGGGCACCCCACCATCCCTTCTCCCAGTATGGAAAAAGAACAGTGCCCCCCCCAAGGGCTTTAGACCCAGCAACTGTCCTCCCCTTTTCTTAGCAAGTAAAGATGGGAAGAAAGCCAGAATGGTAAAAACTAAAGGATCAAGCTTACATTCAAAAAGAGAATGAAGAATTCACTCTCAATTCACACTGAGATGCACAAAGAGGGGCAGCTGTCAGTCTTGTGCCAACACTGAAGGGAGAAGCACTCCTCCTGCCTCCCACAAGAGCCAGTGGCTCCTCTGACCTTCATCCATCACTCCAATGGGAAAATCTGCCACGGAGCCCCCCCTCCCGACCCCTTCTGCGAAGGATGCTCCTTTGCTGGACGTTTTCAAGCGGAGGCTGGACAACCATCTTTCGGGTATGCTGTAGGTATATAGGGCTATCTTTCAGCTATGCTCCTGCAGAGTGCAGGGGGTTGGACTAGATGACCTGCAAGGTCCCTTCCAACTCTAACATTCTATGATTTCATGGCATATTAAATCAGATTCCCGGCTGACTGCTCCGGACAACTGTCAGAAGAGACAAACCCTAGGTATGGTTTAAAATACACGGGGACAGCCAGGATTTCTTCTGGAAGGGGCTGGATGCTTTCCTGGCAGACTGTATTTGCCAGAGACTTCAGAATCACTTAGAATGCTGTTCTCTGTGTGCGGCAAGGAAACGGCAGGAACCCAAAAGCCCACGAAAGATACCTGAGCAGCGACCTGTCAATCCCTCCTCTTCATCCGCGGTCAGAAGAAACGGTTCTTCCTCTTCTTCCAGCCGGGATATGAGATCAGGTTTGGCAATCGGAGGTCCTTTTGATCAGGGAAAAACACACACAAAATTATAACTTAATGTGCCTGCACATCAATTCAGCCATTCCACGCCAGGCAGAATTTGTACCTACAGATATACAAAACAGGCAAGCAATAGGGGTGGGGTGGAGTCAGGCCAGGAGCCAGGATTTGTTGGTTTGTGGGGCAAATGTTTTTCTTGTGGGGCAGCCATTTTTCCTCTTTAAAAAATTAATTGCAGCTCTTCAAACATGAACTGTATTTTTAGGCACCTTAACACTCGCTGTAGCACCCCTCTGACCCTACAAGTGTCTCTTATGGGGCAGAAATGAGGGAGGATTCTGCTGCCCCCCCCCACAGCCACCAGGCAAGCCAAGTCTGGAGCCGCCAGCTGACCACCCTTCTGGGCATCGAGTCGACTGCCTCTGATCCAGGACCGCATCCCGTTTCCACTGGCCAGACGGACCTGGAACCCCCCAAGCCGGGCAGAAAACCGGGTCCCTCCTAAAACGTGGATTCTGTTGCTCAGATAACACCCGGGGTGGGATCCAGTCGGCATCCGGGCGTGAGACTAGGCCAGGTGCACGAGACTAGGCCCCAGGTGGCAGGACCTTCCGCGTGCACTTAAAGGGCGCTCCTTCAGCCGTGGGCTCGGCAGCCACCCCTCCTCCAGCAGGGCGCCGAGTGCCCCTATTGGCTGCGCAGCCCACTGGGCTCTGCCTGGCTAGGCTGTCTCTTGGCAGCAACCTGCTCTGCCCTCTCCCCAGCCAGCCAGCCAGCCTGCCCGAGCCGGCCCGGAGGAGGCAGGGGCAGAGGCCAGAGTGGGAGTGCCGTCCCTCGGCCTCCCTCACTCCCTCCTTGGCTTTGTCCCTCCCTCCCTCACCTTGTGCCGCTGCCACTACCTGGGCCCCACAAGGGCTCTGCCTGCCACCAGTGGCAGGAAGGCTGAGGTGCTCCAGCCAGGCGCTGGACTTAGCGGTGGGTGCAGGCCCCATTTGGTGCTCCTCAATATTTTAAAAAACAATTTCTAGCGGGGCCTTGTGGGGCCTGGCTGATGCGTGATGGGGCTGGGCCCCTGGGGCCCCACCGTAGCTGTGGGCCGGGGCGGAGTACAGTGTGGGGCAAGAACAACCAATATGGCGCTGGCATTTCTGTGCCTGCTCCCTGCCAAGCTGGGAGGGAAATTACAGCTGAGAACCAAGTAACGCAGCAGAGAAGCCAACAGAGTCCCCTCCACAGCCCCATCCCAGCCCAGGTTAAGGAGAGGCTCAGACCCAAGCAGGAAGCCCCACCTTTAGACTGCCCCACCTTCTCCCCACCAAGCATCCCTTGGCCCACCTCAGAGGAAGGGTCGCGGAAGGTGGCCGAGATCAGCCATCGGGACCAGGGCAGACTCCCCGACCCCGTCTTTCCTCAGTAACGACCACCTTGCTCCACACGGCAATAAGAAGTCAGGGAAGAACAAAAAGATCCTCACCCAGAGAGGCCACGTTCCCAAAGTTCTCCAGCATGACTTCCTTGTAGAGAGCTCTCTGGGCTTGGCTCAGCAGGCTCCACTGCCCCCGGGTGAAATACACGGCCACCTCTTCAAAGGACACCCCACCCTGCAAGAAGGAGGAGGAAGCGTTTATTTACATGGAAAGCTGGTCCATGGGGGGGAAGCAAAAAAATGAGAGAGTTCATACGTCGTGGGAGACCAGAAAAAAGAAGAAGAGAGAAGAGCCCCACAGAGATGTCAACATGTTCATGATCTGAATCCTCCGTATGCATGTTAATCTAGGTATTCTTCCATTGTTTCATCAGAGCCATAGCAAGTGGAGTGATGTGGGAAAAAAATGAATTTGTAGATAATATGTTTTTTTCAGATGCAATTGTTAAAGATTTATTATTTATTTATTTATTCAAATTTATAGCCCGCCCTCCCCGCAAGTGGGCTCAGGGCGGCTCACAATGGGCAACATATGCCAATAGTTAAAACAATAAAAGAAGACAAAAACAAAATTTACAACATTTACAACAACATAAAAGTGCTCTGGATAATGCAAAAATCTTCATTCACAAGATGGTATCCTGGGGACGGTAGCCCAATTCCATGGCCTCCTGGGAATGTTCGTCTCAGTTTCCACATGGTATTATAGTAACTTGGTCACAGGGACATCACACGCCGCGATGCTACCCAGTCCAACTAGTGGTGGTGTGGTAACCATGGTGTGGTAATGGTGGTGCAGTAATGGTGGTAAAGGAGTGGTGGTACAGTAGTGGCGGCTCCTACTGAAAAGCCTGGTGGAAGAGCTCCGTCTTACAGGCCCTGCAGAGCTGCACTGGATCCTGCAGGGCCTGGATCTCCTCCGGGAGCTCATTCCACCAGGTAGGAGCCGCCACCAAAAAAGCCCTGGCCCTGGTTACGGCAAACCTGGCATCTCTGGGGTCTGGCATCACCAGGAGGTGTTGTGTCCCCGACCGTAGTGCCCTTGGGGGAACATATGGGGAAAGGTGGTCCCTTAGGTATGTCGGACCCTGGCCATGTAGACCTATAAAGGTAAGAACCAGCACTTTGAAGCGAATCCGGTACGCCATTGGCAGCCAGTGCAGCGCTTTCAGCACAGGCCGGATGTGTTCCCGCCTAGTGAGGCTCATCAACAGCCTGGCTGCAGCATTCTGCACTAGCTGCAGCTTCCGGATTTGCGACAAAGGCAGCCCCATGTAGAGAGTGTTACAGTAGTCTAACCTCGAGGTGACCGTCGCGTGGATCACTGTGGCCAGGTCATCGCGGTCAAGGAAGGGGATCAACTGCCGAGCCAGCCGAAGATGGTAAAAGGCCGACTTGGCAGTGGTTGCCACCTGGGCCTCCACAGTTAAGCATCCAGGAGCACTCCCAAACTCCTAACCTCCGGCGCTGGCACCAAAGGTGCCCCATTGAAGGTCGGGAGAGGGAGCCCCAACCCCAGACCGCCCCGACTCAGGCCCAGGACCTCCGTCTTCGCCGGGTTTAGTTTTAGCTGACTCAGTCTGAGCCAAAAAGCCACAGCTCGCAAGATATTGTTATTGTTACTGTTAAAATTAATAAAAATTATTTTTAAAAAACAAAATGTGTCATAGTTCCTGGGAGGGGCCAGGGATGAGGGAAGGGGAACATCCATTTTCTGTTTCTTTTCAATTGGAAGCCAGATATTGGGCCAATATTAAAAACCTAGTATAAACTTATACAAAAATGCATGTATTTATTAGAAAAACAGTTAAAAACAAATCGGGGCCCAACGGTCAAGTTTGTTTTCCCCCTCCCTGTGTCTTACTTCTTTTCAATTGCAGCCTGAGCAGAATGAGAGACGGCCAAGACTGAGAGAGCTCTGTGAATTACCGTATTTTTTGGACCATAAGACTCACTTTTTCTTCCAAAAAAAGTGGGAGGAAAAATGAGTGCGTCTTATGGACCGAAGGTTCAGAATATTTTTTCCCCTGTTTTTCTCCTTTAAAAACTAGGTGCGTCTTAAGGTCAGGTGCGTCTTATGGTCCGAAAAATACGGGTAGTTATTACCACCAGGGATCTTTTTGTAGAAAAGGCCCAGCAGGAACTCATTAGCATAATAGGCCACACCCAACAACAGGAACTCATTAGCATATTAGGCCACACCCCCGACAGCACAGGTCATTAGCATATTAGGCCGCACCCCCATGTTACCAGAAGTGTGCTCATCCAGCCACACCCACCTTTTGCTTGTTATTCTGTTTACCTTGTTTGTTGTCAAAACCCAGGGCCTTTTTTTGTAGCAGGAACTCCTTTGCATGTTAGGCCACACACCCCTAATGTAGCCAATCCTAATGAGTTTCTGCTGTTGGGTGTGGCCTATTATGCTAATGCATTCCTGCTGGGCGTGGCCAACTCAGGAGCCAGCCGGAACTCCGTTCTTGTGCGTTCCTGCCCCAAAATAGCCCTGATTACCACAAACGTTTAAAGTTTCTCCCTCTTCCAAAACTCTAGGACTCGAGGGCATCCAATGAAGCGGAGGGAGACTAGGTTCAGGGCAGACAAAAGGAAACAGTGCTTTACACAGAGGGCGATTAAAATGTGGTGACTGAGGGGAACCTCCACATTTGGAGGCACTCATCCTCTGAATCCCGGAGCCAGGAGGCCACATCAGAGGAAGGCCCCAGCCACTGTGCCCTGTTGTAGGTCCTCCAGAAGAACTGGTAGGCCACTGTGTGAGACAGGACGCTGGACTAGATGGACAATGCGTCTAATAATTAAACAGGGCTTGTCTTATATTATAAAGTTTGCCAAGAGACTGAGAGTGTTTTAATATAAAGAGATAAAGAACGCACTTTGAAACCACAAGGGTGGACTTGCCTCAGGCGCACAACACCGAGGGACACAGACAAATGTGTAAAAGAGGCCCCTACTATCTCAAAGTGTTAGGAAAAGCCTGCGTTTCTATAAATGCAAACTGAACCCACCAAGCAGGGGTGGCTGGTCAGTTAGGACAAACGGGGGCCTTGCCCCACCGAGCTCAGTCCTTTCCCGCTTGCCCCCTTTACACTTAAGGAGACGCCTTGCTGAACTCACTCACTGTCCAGGCCTCGCAGGCTGCCTGCTCCTTCCTTAGCCAGTCTCAGCCTTCTTGCCTGCTTGTCTTTCTGGACCTCGGCCAAGTTTCCCTCTACACTCAGGGTAGGGGGGCTTCCACCTCCTCCCCTCTTCTTAAAAGCAGAGGATCTCTTCTAATCCCAAACCCACGGTTGCCCCATGCAGAACCAGGGTGAGGCGTATTCAAATAAGGAAAGATCGACCGGCTCGGGCAACAGATTCTTAGGGGATTTATTGACCAGAGATTCACAAGGGTAGCAGGACCCACTGCCCAGTTCATCGCCGTAGCCATGGAAATGAAGTGAAGGCCACATCAGTGGGGGTGGGTGTGTCACATCCTGGGGCACCTCAGCGCCTCGGAGGAGAGGGGGTGGGTCAGGGGTACTGCCATAAACCTTCCGGCGGCAAAGGGGGCAGAAGGAGGCACCCTCGGGGGTGGAAAGGGCACTGCAGGAGCAGACAGGAGGAAGCACCTCCAGGGCTAGTTCCTGAGGGAGAAAAGGCCCACGGGAGGGCAAAGGTCCCCATGGGAGAAAAAGATCTACTCGAGAGTAGGCACGGAGCAGTGTGAATTGGCCAGGCCGAGGAGGATAAAACGGGCCCAGCTCAGAGTGGTGGCAGGCCACAGGACCCGGGGGGAGGGGGGGACGAAGCAAGTGGCTGGGACTGGCCAGGAACAGGGAAGGAGAGCGGCCAGCCTGGCCTCGAGCTCTCTCCCGTTGGTAGGGACCCAGGACTCCCCGGGGCTGGGAAGGCGTGGCCTTCTTGGCCCAGAAGCCCCGGCTACCACTGGCCCAGCCCTGGAGTGAACAGGTTGCCAACCCCCCATGGGAGGTGGGGGATCCCTGGTCCCCAGCTGCTGCCCCCTGCTGCTGATCAGCTGGCTGGTGGAGGACTTACTGGTGGCGGCGAGGAGCCTAGCCCAGCGTGGCAGTGATGTTGCTGGGGATGCAGTGACGTCCCTTCTGGTGTTCCTTGGAAGTGATGTCATTGCACCAGTGGGGCCAGGACACTAGAAGCCCTCCCACTGTTGCCCTCCCCCCAGGCACCAAGGATACAGAGCATCCCTTGCCTCAGACCGAGAGTTCCTATCTATACCTTGTAGCTAATAGCCACTGATGGACCTCTGCTCCATATGTTTATCCAGTTCCCTCTTGAAGCTGTCCATGCTTGTGGCCGCCACCACCTCCTGTGGCAGTGAATCCCATGTGTTAATCACTCTTTGGATGAGAAAGTACTTCCTTTTATCTGTTCTAACCCAACCGCTCAGCAATTTCATGGAGTGCCCACGAGTTGGTCCTGTCAGTGTGCAGGATAAGAGCTACATCTAGGTCCGTTAGCACCTTACAGGACAACAAGATCTTCAGGGCATAAGCTTATGAAGGGGACTCTGCATCTCAAAAGCTGATACCCTGAACATCGGGTAGGTCTCGAAGGGGCTACTGGACTCAAATCTAGCTGGGTCAGGAGAAGTTAACAAACAGGTGCCTTTCGTCAATACAACACAAAGCAGCAAATAATACTAGCTGTGAGGCAATTATTGATGGATTTGCCTCTTCAAAAGCACAAAAAGAGCGATTGTAAAAAACCGGTTGCACTGATGTATTCTGATGTACCACTGACTGTGAAGATCTCCAAGAGGATCTCCACAAACTGGGCGAGTGAGCGACAAGGTGGCAAATGAAGTTCAACGTTGGGAAGTGTACAATGATGCACACTGGGACAAAAAGAAATCCCAACTTCAAGGATAGGCTAATGGGGTCTGAATTTGCTGAGGCTGAGAGGGAAAAAGATCTTGAGGTCATAGTGGATAGCTCAAGGAAAGTGCCCACCCAGTGTGCTGCAGCGGTGAAAGAGGCAAACTCGATGTTAGGGATTATTAGGAAAGGGGCTGAGAATAAAACGACCAATATTATAATGCCCCTGTATAGATTCATGGTGCAGACTCGTTTGGAACACTGTGTACCGTTTTGGTCACTGTGCCTCCAAAAGGACATGGCAGAGCTGGGGGGAAAAGTACAGAGGGAGGGCAGCAGAGATGACTGGGGGTTGGAGCTCCTTCCCTGTGAGGAAAGGCTTGAAGAGTCTGGGACATTTCAGTTCAGAAAAGATGACTAAGGGAGGGACATGACAGAGGTTTATAAAATTAGGCACAGGGTGGAGAGAGTTGACCAAGAGAACCTTTTCTCCCTCTCGCAAAACATTAGAACTGGAGGGTATCCAATGAGACTGATGGGCAGGAGGTTCAGGAGAGACAAAAGGAAATACTTCCTTGAGGGTATCCAAGGAGGCTGAGGGGCAGGAGGTTCAGGAGAGACAAAAGGAAATACTTCCTTGAGGGTATCCAAGGAGGCTGAGGGGCAGGAGGTTCAGGAGAGACAAAAGGAAATACTTCCTTGAGGGTATCCAAGGAGGCTGAGGGGCAGGAGGTTCAGGAGAGACAAAAGGAAATACTTCCTTTTTAAATAGGCCCTGCTTGGGCTTCTCTGCACATACTATGCTTGAGCGGGGTGTGTGTATGACCATTTTCCTGCCTCCCCCCGTGGGCAGCCTGAGCATCTCCCAGCACTAGAGCCAAGGGCAAGGAGCCCGATCCTCTGCGCCGTGCAACAGAGAAGGAAGCATCCAGGCCACCCTTCCCACACCTCCCCAGGGGAGGCCCCCTTCCCCTGTTACCTGAGCTGGCTGCATGGTGGCTCTTTTCCCTTCACCACACGGAGCCGGAGATGGCCCCAGAAGGCGTCAAGGGTGTCTCTCTGCTGGAGCCTGGGAGAGAGAGAAAGACAGACAGAGGGAGGGTGGGAAACACACACATTTTACGTGTCAATTCCCTCAGCGAACATCTTTCTGGATTAGCTTCTGGGCACAAGTCAAGATACTCTGGTCTAGGAAGGCTCAGGAGTGTTTGGCCCAGAACTGGACTTTCAAAAGGCTTTTGACAAGGTCCTTTCCCCTCAAAATGATTCAGAATCAGGGGTGGGTAGTGTGGTGGCCAAGCTTGAGAACACAAAATTATTCAGGACGGTGAAATCAAAGTTGACTGTGAAGAGCTCCGAGAGGACCTCCACCAACTGGGTGAGTGGGCAACAATGTGTGGCAAATGAAGTTCCGTCTTAGTGAGCGTAAGGAGGTGAAATGCCAACTTTCCACAAGTTCCTCACTGGTTGCTAAGTTACAGTGAGGCCTGGCTGATAAGGCACCTGGGAAGAAGCATCTACATTCCGTTCTTATCTCAGCAAGCTGTGTTTTGGTGCTTTCCTTAGCACTGGGAAGTCAAGAGGGGGGCTTGAAGACTCCCAGCCAGATCCAACCCGCTGGGCACAAATGCATGATACTGCGCCCCAGCTTTGAGCCAATGATTTCATGCCATCTTGACCGTTCGCTCTCATGATGATTTCACTCATACCAGATAACCAATAGCTTTGTATAGGTATGGAAACATGCTTCATATGTCAGTAGAGGTCTCTGGCCACCCGGAAGGGGACAAAGAGCACCTTGGTTAACAAGCCTTTGGCTGAGCTCTGCTCTCCAAGATTATTGCAATAAACTTTGTTTATCCTCTTCACCCAGACTCCAGCCGGGTGTCTTTTCTTGGGCCAAGGCATTCGGCCACAGATTTGTGCAAAAAAACCCAACTTCAAGTCTGAGCTAATGGGGTCAGAACTTGCTGAGACTGGGGGGGGGGAGGTCCTGGGGCCATAGCAGACAGCAAACTCTGTGCTGGGAATTATTAGGAAACAGCTTGAAAATAAAATGGCTGCTATTCTAATGCTCCTGTAGAGATCTAGGGTGCAGCCTCATTAGGAATAGTAGGTGCACTCCTGATCATCGTATCTCCAAAACAAAAAGCAAAACCCCACATCGGAGTGCTGGAAAAAGTACAGAAGAGATGCAAGATGATTATCCTTCCCCATGAGGAAATTCTGGGCCTTTTCAGTTTTTAAGAGAGAAGTGAGGGGGTGGACATGACAGAGGATTATAAAATTATGCACAGGGTGGAGAGATATGACAAAGAGGACTTTTCCCGCCCTCTCCCAAAATACAGGAACTGGAGGGAATCCAACAACCCTGATGGGAAGCAGATTCAGGGCGGACCAAAGGAAACCCATTGTTACAGAGCGAGTGATTAAAATGCAGCATTCGCTGCCCGAGGCTGTAGGGATGGCCACAGGCAGAGGCAGGATTTAAATGGGGATTAGACAGAGTCATGGAGGAGAGGTCCATCAGTCGCTTCGGCGCCTCCCCTGCTCCTGCCGCATCCATCCTCTGTCCAAGAAATCTCACCCTCAGCCCCACCACCACCACCTCTTTGCCCCCCCCCCGAACCTCACCCACAGCCCTTCACCTCTGGCTCCACTCCCATCGCCTCTGCTTCCTACAGGTGCCCCTGGAACCTGCAGCCACCTGAGCCCCGTCCAAGGTGCTGAGTTCGGGTCTTCCTCTCAAGCCGGCTGCAGGGACCTCGCGGCTCTGCACAAAGCAGCCCAAGGTGTCTCCCTTATACATGGGCAGTGAGGAAGGGCTCTCCTGCCAACCTAGCAGTTAGAAAGCAAGAAATTGCAAGTAAATAAATAGGTACCACTTCGGTGGGAAGGTAACAGCGTTCCGTGCGCCCTGGTGTTTAGTCATGCCGGCCACATGACCACGGAAACGTCTTCGGACAGCGCTGGCTCTTCGGCTTGGAAACGGAGATGAGCACCGCAACCCTAGAGTCGGATTCGACTGGCTTTCGAGCAAGGGAAACGTTACCTTTTACCCCCCAAAAAAAGCCCCCATGAGCTCACCAGCTAGATTTGAGTCCAGCGGCATCTGAGACACCAGCACGTTGTTGGGTAGGGGGAGCATGAGCTCTCAGGGTCTAACCTCCGCAACCCTCTTGGAGCTCCCCACCGATTCCCTCCCAGCCATTCAGGAAAAAGCCCGGGGAATGGGGCTTGGAGGGGGACAGGAAATGGCTCCCCATATGCCTCTCTAGGATCGCAGCTCTCTCACTATAACCCTTGGAGAGCATCTCTGTTCGAGAAACCCAGGACACAAAATGAAAACACAAACTTGCGCGGAAGCTCTAAAGTGGGTTTATGAGAGGCACCGGAACCAGAAAGAAATAACGAATCTGCATTTTGAAGAATTCTGGGGAAAAGGGACTATGCATAGGATGGAGAGAGTTGAGCAAAAGAACCTTTTGTCCATCTCCCAAAAGACTAGAACTTGAGGGCATCCAAGGAAGCTGATGGGCAGTAGGTTCGGGACAGACCAAAGGAAATACTACTTTACACAGAGGGGATGAAAATGTGGAATTTGCTGCCAGAGGGTGTAGTGATGGCCACAGGAACACACATCTTGAAAAGGGAATTAGATAGATCCCTGCAGGAAATGTCTCTGAGGGGAACCTTCACATTCAGAGGGACTAATCCTCTGAATCCCAGAGCTGGGAGTCAACATCAGGGGAAGGCCTGGACCTCTATGTCCTGACAGCACTATGGCCTCTGAGAGCCAATTTGGTGTAGTGGTTAGGACCACAGACTCTAATCTGGAGGAACCGGGTTTGGTTCCCCATTCCTCCAGATGCAGCTGCTGGTGTGACATTGGGTCAGTTACAAGTTCTTTCAGAGGTGTTCTCTCACAAGCAGTCCTCGAAGGAGCTCTCTCAGCCCCATCTACCTCACAGGGTGTCAGTTGTGGGGAGGGGAAGGGAGATTGTAAGCCGCTTTGAAACTCCTTCAGGTAGTGAAGGGCAGGGTATAAATCCAATCTCTTCTTCTCTGTCAGGCAGTGGGAAAAGATCCCAGGAATATATCCTGGGAAAACTGCTGGGTTGGGGGGGCTCATTCCCCCCCCTTGGAAGAGTTCAGGACTCATTGGAGGTTTGGGGCAATGTTCCCTCTAAGCTGAGTTAGTGTGAGCTAGAGCAAGCTAATTTATGCAGTAGCCAAATCGCTCACTCACAACCAGTGTTCCCTCTAAGCTTAGTCTGAGCTAGCTCAGAAGAAGAAGAGAATGGATTTATACCTCGCTCTTCACTACCCAAAGGTGTCTCAGAGCGGCTTACAAACTCCTTTCCCTCCCCCTCCCCACAACAGACACCCTGTGAGGTAGGTGGGGCTGAGAGAGCTCTTTCGAGAACTGCTCTTTTTCAAGAACAGCTCTTATCAGAACTATGGCTTGCCCAAGGTCATCCAGCCAGGTGCAAGTGGTGCATGTGATAGAGTAAAGAAATATTGGTCTTGGATACATGAAATTTTACAAAAAATGTTAAAATGCACTATATATTTTAAACCTGAACTGAACTGAACTGACTATAAGACCAGAAAATTGTCAAAAAACAAGACTATTATCTTATAATACATGTAGTGATTACAGCGAGAATATTATACGCCAAATACTGGAGAAAACATGAACTACATTCAAAAGGAATTATAAACAAAATTCTTGAAATTGCAGGGATGGACAAATTAACTTTGTTTTTGAGAGGTCAGGATGAAGGAAACTTTGAAAATACATGGTCAATATTTTACAAATGGTAGGAAGATTATAATAAATAAACAATGTGGACATTTAAACATACTAAAAGAATATAAGAAATACATTGTTAAACATAATGCAAAATATTACAAAAATATGGTAATAAAAATGGATAATTTGTAAACAGACAGTGTATAAGGTAATATAACAGATACAACAAAGATGGAAATGGGAATCCCACCTAGTATGTACTTGTTTGTTTGTATGTGTTTATTAAAAATAAAAATTATATTTAAAAAGACTATTTTATCGAAACTAACATATAACTTTTTCTTAAAAGAAAGAGCTTGATTAATATAAACAGGTGCAAATTAATCCTACAAGTGCAGGAATAATGTATGCGATAACAGATCTAGTAACATTTCTCAACCTTAGCTAAATACGTAAGCATGACAGATGAAAGCAAATCAGGTTTTCAGCTGATTGGCAGAATGTTGTGTAAAATGGGAAGCCAGGCACACAAGATATATTCACCCAAGGTAAGATCTTCTCTGACTGAAGGCCACCAGCCTGGTGAGACCCTTATATCACAATTTTGATAGAGCAGGGGACAGCAAGAGAAAGAAGTCATCCTTCTTTAAGAACATAAGAGAAGCCATGTTGAATCAGACCAATGGCCCATCTAGTCAAACACTCTGGATGCATCTAAACCTTAGGCTGAAGAAAAGAATTTGCTGTGAAAACCCAGAACCAGAATTTGCAATATGCGAGTTTGCAAAAATTCTTTCTTGCCAGCTCTGTCTTGGGAAATTCCTGGAGATCTGGGGGCAGTGCTTGGAGAAGACAGTTTTAGAAAGGGGATGAAGCTCTCTGGGGATGGGATACCTTAGGGCAAAGGTGTTGAACTCATTTCTTACAAGGGCTGGATCTGACTTACATGTCACTTAGTCAGGTCAGGCCACGTGTGCCATAAAACGTAACATGAGGTACTAGAAATACAAACTTTATACAGGTGATTTCAGATGCCGGATGGCAAAAGCAGGCTTGATTGGATTAGGTGTGATATGCAAGGGGGTAGGAGGCTTGGAGATATCAGCATGGGTAATGAGGCAGGAAACCTTGGTATCAGTTTGGTCCAGAAGAATGCAAAGAATGGACTTAAGTCTGCAGGAGCAGTGACTCCTGAAAGCTCTTACCCTACCATAAGTTGTGTTAGTTTTTAAGGTGCTACTGGACTCTTACTCTTTTCTATTGCTATTAGAAACCACAACATTCAAAAACCAGTAGGGGAACATTTTAACCTTCCAGGATATTCAGTTGCTGACCTAAGAGTAGCAGTTTTCTTACAAAGGAATTTCAAAGGGAGATTAGAGAGACTGCTGAATTGCAACTGATAATGAAGCTCAAGACAATGCATCCTCCTGGACTGGACTGAGACCTAAGTTTCTTCTCTCATTACCAATGCCTGCTGTTATCATTCAGCATCTGAAATCACTCTCCCAACAGATAAGGACAGATGGACTCACATTCTAGCTGTATCTGAAGAAGTGAGCAGTGATTCATGAAAGCTCATCTCCTACCACAAATTTTATTTGTTGTTAAGGTTCTACTGGACTTTTGCTCCTTTCCACTAATAAGGATTGCAAAATGTGCTGTTTTCTTTTTTCACATGTCAGAACTGGATAGGGGTATCTCTCCAAGAGAAATAATGTGGTGATTTCAGACTGGGCAAAATTCACTCAATGCTAGTGATAATAATGAACAGTTAAAAAGCAGGAGGGGGTGTTAATGTGAAGAAAGGCAGCCAGTGAGGTGGGAGGGATGGAGGCGTGTTGAACTGAAATATCTGGAACCATAAATGTATTTTTAAAATATGTAGCCATCTACTTCCAGTCATTAAACAATGGAATCCAAACCAAGTGTAGTAATTCCTATTCAAGGTCTTTTTGGGGGGAAAAACAAACTTCCAGATAGACACAGAGAAATCTAATCTTTTTAAAAAAACCTATTTTCAGAATAAGCCAAAATAATTTCCTTTTAATTCCCCCTATCCCAGATGCATCTCTTTCCTGCCCCCTTCCTTTTTGAACGTGTGTGTGTGTGTGTGTGTGTGTGTGTGTGTGTGTGTGAGAGAGAGAGAGAGAGAGAGAGAGAGAGAGAGAGAGAGAGAGAGAGAGAGAGAAGGTCTAAAGTAAAAAGCAGAGCAGGGTAATCTTAATGTAATTTTTGTCAGAAGAATCCCCCTTGCTCTCTCTCTTTCTTTGAAGAAGTGCGTATTCACACAAAAGCTTCTACCTGGAATAAAACGTTGTTGGTCTTAAAGGTGCCACAAGACTCTGTCTCTCTCTCACGCGTGCACTCTCCCTTGCGCTTTCCCTCCCCCTCAAAGGAGGGGGAGGAGACCTCAACCAATGGAGCGAGGGAGGCTTAAGTTTGTCTCCCAGCGTGATTGAGAGAGACAGGCGAAAGCAAGCTGCGAGGCAAAGGCGGCAACAACATCCCCAGGGATGGAAGCAGGAGTCAGTTGACTGAGCGCCAGATGTGAACCCTGCAGGGGTTGGTGCCAGCCCACGGGCCATATGTTTGACACCCCAGCCTTAGAGTTTCCCATCTGGTCTGGAGATCAGGTGTATTTCTAAAAGAACTCCAGGCCCCACTTGGAGGTTGGAAACCCGATATGACTCATCTGTGGGGTGCAAAGGAGTATCACAGAAACCACAGGTCTTTCTTGGGGTTTCAACCTTCCCCTCTAGCACTGAACAGGAGGGGGGGTCAAGGGGCTGCAGGAAGCTTTCTGCCGCTCAGAGGGATGTCAGTAGGAATCCTTGCTGGTTGTTGCTTTAGATGCTAAGGACTCTGGTCCGTTCAATGGGCAATCCGGGCCTCGCAAAGTGGCACATGTTCCCCTCCCCCCCATGGAATGTCCATGAGAAGGGAACCAATGAGGCTGGCAGTGTAGCTAGGCGGTGGATTACAGGTTCCCAAACTCTGCCTGTTAATTTCGGAAGCCTTAAAGCAGGGCAGTGTTCCCTCTAAGCTGAGTTAGTGTGAGCCAGCTCACAGTTTTTTAGCCTTTGGCTCACACATTTTTGTCTTAGCTCAGGAAGGCTGGCTCCAGAGCAGACTAATTTATGCAGCAGCCAAATCCCTCGCTCACAACTTTAATGCCAGTAGCTCATACAGTAGAATTTTTGCTCACAAGACTCCACAGCTTAGAGGGAACATTGAAGCAGGGGTGTCAAACTTATTTGTTATGAGGGCCGGATATGACATAAATGGGACCTTGTCAGGTTGAGCCATGTGTGTCATAAATATAATGCAAGGTAGCTGAAATATAAACTTTATAAAGGACACCATGTTAACCATGTTTCCAGTAGGCATATACAGTCAAAGTTCCTAATGAAATTAATAAAATCAACGTCCTGTTTTTTGTTGTTCCAACCAGATACATTCCATGATACTAAATGGACTGGTCTGACTTGATTATTTGGAACTAGTCAGTCAATTTCTTCTATCAAATCAAGTCTCTTATGGGTGTCGTTGATAATACATCCATTTGTCCTTGGAGGATGAGATATAGTAGATGATATAGTAGATGGTATTTCCATAGGTTCTGAAGTTAAATTTATCAAGTCAGCCTGAGTGGAAGAAGATGCAGGAAGATGGTCCACTCTTCCAGTACAGGAGCTGAGGGAAGTAGCTTGGGCAGGCAGATCAATTCCCAGTGATGAGCTTTTCCCCTGGAGTAAGTTAGAAGTGGGTAGAGCAATAAGCTTTTTGTGTGCTTGGAGGCGTTGTAGGGTACATTCTAATCTCTCAATGACTCCCCGTTGTTCCAGAGTAGGTAGATTTTCAAATGAGTGAAGAAAGGAGTCTTCTAGTGGACTACCCATGTTGTCATTGGTAGGTTCCAGCTGTGAAGTTCTATCCTGTGAGCAGACTGTAGGTGTTGGAATATCTTCCTGTTGTCTGAGGGAGTTGGACTTAATTACTTCCCTTCAGCAGAGAGCGGATATCACCGTGTTTATAAAATAGCGGGCTGGAAGGATTCTTTTCCCCCCCAAAGTTCTTATTTGTGCTTCAGTAAAGCCACAGGAGTTCTTGAGGTTTTAAAAGTAAGCAGCACTTTATTGGTTTGAATGCCACAGTCAAGATTTTCAGTATTGGTTAGATCAATTTTATGAAAGTCAGTGTGAAGAAGTGCACCTAGGTGAGATTTCACATGGTGGTTATGTCCCCAGCTTGAGACTCTGCCTCTGTAACAGCATATTAATAGGCAGATTTCATTTGGTTGGAGAACCAAGAGTTGGGAGTTGACTCCAAATCTCCCTTTGAAGTTGTTGTTCAGCCGAGGATTCTTCTCATTTATGTAGATTATAAAGGACACAGTCAAACACAATTAAATAATTTTTTAAAATTTAAAATACAACATGCTTCAAACATCAGCACTCTTGCAATATTTTGTTTATTTAACAGCCTCTGATAACTGACACCTCTTGCTCTGAATCATTGCACCAAAATCTGGAGACAATGTCTGTGCTGTAGCAATCTTGAGTATGCTATTCAGTTGTGTATCTGGAAGTTGAAAACCTACTTTTAATTTATTGACATTCATTACAGAAATCTCACGGTCAATGCTCTGCACCTAAGACCCAGGGGAAAACATGAAATGGCTGCGCTTTTGTACATAAACTGCTTCATCTACTGGTTAAGAACATGTGAAGGGCTGTGTTTGTCTTCAAAACTATAATATTCCCCAGAGAAATAACTACAATTCTTGTGAGTCAGTGCAATAGAGAGGCAGCAATGTATAGTGGTCAGTGTCAGCCTACTATCTAGGAACTCTTAAGTTCAAGAATCATGAGGGCATGAATACATTGATAATGGAGAGGCAAGTCCAGTTGCACCCAGGAGAGCCACAGCATAACCAGCCCAACAACAAAACACGCACACACAGGATGATGAACCCAACAAATGTTATTTCTCATCTAAATAGTTCACATTCCTTTCCTACTAAGAAAGACTGGATCACGAAGGCATGAATACAGTGGAAAAAAGGAAACCCCGTTGCATCCAGGAGAGCCCTGGCATAACCAGCCCAACAAAACACACATATTCTCTCTGTAGAATGGTCTTAAAGGTGCTTCATATTTCTCCCATGTGATTGAGGCAGCAGAGCAAAGGGGAGGAAGGGGAGGAGCCTCAGCCAATGGAAGGGAAGCAAGACTTGCCTTTGTCTTCTGTGCAATTGAGGCAGCCTGGCCAGAAAGCAAGCTCTGGCTCATTCCCTCCCTCACCCTGGAAGGAAGAGTGGGATGAGCCTCAACCAATGCAGAGAATAGAGGCTTGCCTATCGATGTCTCCTGTGCAATAGAGAGAGTCTGGCAAAGCAAGCTGTGACACAGAAGGAAGCAGGAAAGAGGGAGAGGGAAGCAGAAGAGAGCCAGTTGCTTGCAGGCCAGATATGACCCCTGTGGGGGCTGGATCCAGCCTGTGAGCCGCATGTTTGACCACCCTGCCTTAAAAAATATAAGTACCTAATGTTTTTCCACAATCCAGGCATTTGTATAGTTTCACTCCTGAGTACATTCTTTTTCTACTCTATAGTTTTTTTCTACTCTACATGGTTTTTCCCATGTGAATTCTTTGATGGGAAGTAAGGCTTCCACTCTTACTGAAGCTTTTCCCACACTCCAGGCATTTATATAGTTTCTCCCCTGTGTGAATCCTTTGATGGGAAATAAGTTTTCCACTCTCCGTGAAACTTTTCCCACACTCCATGCATTTATATGGTTTCTCCCCAGTGTGAATCTTTTGATGGGAAGTAAGTTTTCCACTCTCTGTGAATCTTTTCCCACAATCCAGGCATTTATATGGTTTCTCTCCTCTGTGAATTCTTTGGTGGACAAAAAGGTTCGAACCCTGACTGAAGCTTTTCCCACACTCCAGGCATTTATATAGTTTCTCCCCTGTGTGAATCCTTTGATGGGAAATAAGTTTTCCACTCTCCGTGAAACTTTTCCCACACTCCATGCATTTATATGGTTTCTCCCCAGTGTGAATCTTTTGATGGGAAGTAAGTTTTCCACTCTCTGTGAATCTTTTCCCACAATCCAGGCATTTATATGGTTTCTCTCCTCTGTGAATTCTTTGGTGGACAAAAAGGTTCGAACCCTGACTGAAGCTTTTCCCACACTCCAGGCATTTATATGGTTTCTCCCCTGTGTGAATTCTTTGATGAGAAGTAAGTTTTCCCCTCTGACTGAAGGTTTTTCCACACTCCAGGCATTTATATGGACTCTCCCCCGTGTGAATCCTTTGATGGGAAGTAAGATGTGACTTATGACGGAAGCTTTTCCCACACTCCAGGCATTTATATGATTTCTCACCTGTGTGAATTCTTTCATGGGAAGCAAGGTTGCCTCTCTGACTGAAGCTTTTTCCACACTCCAGGCATTTATATGGTTTCTCTCCTGTGTGAATTATCTGATGAGAAGCAAAGCTTCCACTTGCCCTGAAGCTTTTCCCACACTCCAGGCATTTATATGGCCTTTCCCCTGTGTGAATTCTTTGATGGGAATTAAGATGTCCACTCCGACGGAAGCTTTTTCCACACTCCAGACATTTATATGGTTTTCCCCCTGTGTGAATTCTTTGATGAGTAGTAAGGCTTCCATGTGCAGTGAAACTTCTCCCACACTCTAGACATTTATAAGGTTTCTCCCCTCTGTGCATTCTTTCATGGGCATGAAAATTTCCACCTTGTGTGAAGCTTTTCCCACACTCTAGGCATTTATATGGTTTCTCCCCTGTGTGAATTCTTTCATGGGAAGTAAGGCTTTTACTCAGCCTGAAGCATTTCCCACATTGCAGGCATCTATATGGCTTCTCCCCCGTGTGAATTCTTTGATGGCTAATAAGGCTATCCCTCCGACTGAAACTTTTTCCACATTCCAAGCATTTATATGGCTTCTCCCCTGTGTGAATTCTTTGATGGGAAGCAAGACTTCCACTCTGATTGAAGCTTTTCCCGCACTCCAGGCATTGATATGGTTTCTCCCCTGTGTGAATCCTTTTATGAGAAGCAAGGCTTCCGCTCTGACTGAAGCTTTTCCCACACTCCAGGCATTTATATGGTTTCTCCCCTCTGTGAATTTTTTGATGGGAAGTAAGGTCCCCACTCCCACTGAAGCTTTTCCCACACTCTAAGCACTTATATGGTTTCTCCCCTGTATGAACTTTCTGATGAGAAGAAAGGTTTCCACCATTGCTGAAGCTTTTCCCACATTCCTTGCATTTATATGGTTTCTCCCCTGTGTGAATTCTTCGATGGCAAGTAAGGTTTCCAGTCTGACTGAAGCTTTTCCCACACTCCAGGCATTTATATGGTTTCTCCTCTGTATGAATTCTTTGATGGTAAGTAAGGCTTTTATGGTCACATAACATTTTCCCACACTCCAGGCATTTATATGGTTTCTCCCCTGAGTGAACTTTTTGATGAGAAGCAAGGTTTCCACTCTTGCTGAAGGCTTTTCCACACTCCAGGCATTTATATGGTTTGTCTCCTGTGTGAATTCTTTTGTGGGAAGCAAGGTTTCCACTCTGACTAAAGCTTTTCCCACATTCCAGGCATTTATATGGTTTTTCCCCTGTGTGAATTCTTTCATGGCAAGAAAGATCCCCACTCCCATTGAACCTTTTTCCACATTCAAGGCATTTATACGGTTTCTCCCCTTTGTGAATTCTTTGATGGGAAGTTAGTATATATTTTTGCCTAAAGCTTTTCCCGCAATCCAGGCATTTATATATTCTCGTTTTGTCTTCAGAGGTCCATTGAATATTAACAATTTCCCCACTTGCAGTACACATATTCCCATTTTTTCCATTGCATATTTTTTGCTGTACAGAGCCACCGCCCTGTAGAAGACCAGAAGTATTTCTCCATTTATATGGATGCTTTCCCTCCTCGTTCCTCAGGGCATCACTATATTCACATTTGTCTTTCATGTCTGAATATGCATCCACTTTCTTTATCCAGAGATGCTCAGATGGTTCATCTGCTGATTCCAACACTCCCCCTGCTGAAAGAAAGAAAAAACGTGTGTGATGATGACCTTGTGTGGTGATGGGAAAAAAAACCTGGGGTAATTTTAATCTGAACTACTGATCTGGAACCTATAGTTTAATTTGGCCTTTGTCTCTATACGTTTCAGAGGTAAGTAAAATGGTGAGTTTTTACATACTGGATTTTCTTATAAGATGAGTTAGTCTTGTGGAGTTCAATGGTTTGTTTTTTGTGCCTCCATTTCATGCCACACTCTGTATGATAAACATTCCTTTTTCTGAAACTGTTGTCATTTTGGTCTCTGCACTTGAACAAAGCCTCATTCTCCGGCTCCTGCACTGTGGAGAAACTCTCTTAACAACTCGGGTTTCAAGAACTTTCCCCTACCTCCACTTTGGCAGCTGTAAAGGGGAGATTCTGATACTATTAAGGAGAGTCTGTTTCAGGCAAGCAGACTGTGAGCCTCTTAGAGGCCTAGGGTGGTAGATGTGAGAAACAAGAAAGAGGACTGGAGTGGGATGAAGGCTGGATGCAGGGGAACTCCTTGCTGAGGTCTAGCCTCTTGAGACCATTGCAAGCAGCATAAATTCCCAGTGGCAAAAAAAGAGCCTGCAGGGTCATTTCACCACAGTTTCCCCTACCAGTGCTGGAACGACCCATCCTCGGAAGGGCACCCCACCATCCCCTCTCCCAGTATGCTAAAAGGACAGTGCCCCTCCAAGGGCTTTACACCCAGCAACTGTCCTCCCCTTTTCTTAGCAAGTGAAGATGGGAAGACAGCCGGAATGGTAAAAACTAAAGGATCGAGTTTACATTCAAAAAGAGAATGAGAGATTCATTCTCAATTCACACTGAGATGCACCAAGAGGGGCGGCTGCCAGTCGTGCGCCAACACTGAAGGGAGAAGCACTCCTGCCTCCCAGTGGGGGAATCTGCTGTGGAGCCCCGCCCCCTGCCAAGACCCCTTCTGCACCTTTCATGGCATATTAAATCAGCTTCCCGGCTGACTGCTCCGGACAACTGTCAGAAGAGATAAATCCTAGGTATGGTTTAAAATACACGGGGACAGCCAGGATTTCTTCTGGAAGGGGCTGGATTCTATACTGGCGCAATGAATTTGCCAGAGACTTCAGAATCACTTAGAATGCTGTTCTCCGTGTGTGGCAAGGAAACGGCAGGAACCCGAAAGCCCACGAAAGATACCTAAGCAGCGACCTGTCAATCCCTCCTCTTCATCCGCGGTCAGAAGAAACAACGGTTCTTCCTCCGCTTCCAGCCGGGATATGAGATCAGGTTTGGCAATCGGAGGTCCTTTTGATCAGGGAAAAACACACACAAAATTATAACTTAATGTGCCTGCCCATCAATTCGGCAGAATTTGTCCCTCCAGATATACACAACAGGCACGTCACAGGGGTGGGGTGGAGTCGGGCCAGTAGCCAAGATCTTTTGGTTTGTGGGGCAAATGTTTTTCTTCTGGGGCAGCCATTTTTTCTCTTTGAAAAAACTAATTGCAGCTCTTCAAACATGAACTGTATTTTTAGGCACCTTAACACTATCTGTAGCACCCCTCTGATCCTACAAGTGTCTATTATGGGGCAGAAATGAGGGAGGATTCTCCCCCCCCCACACACACACACAACAAGCACCAGGCAAGCTGGAGCCGCCAGCTGATCACCCTTCTGGGCATCGAGTCGACTGCTTCTGATCCAGGACTGCATCCCGTTTCCACTGGCCAGTCAGACCTGGAACCCCCCAAGCCGGGCAGAAAACCAGGTCCCTCCTAAAAAGTGGATTCTGTTGCTCAGATAACACCCGGGGTGGGATCCAGTCAGCATCCGGGCGTGAGACTAGGCCAGGTGCACGAGACTAGGCCCCAGGTGGCAGGACCTTCCGCGTGCACTTAAAGGCAAGCTCCTTCAGCCGTGGGCTCGGCAGCCACCCCTCCTCCAGCAGGGCACCGAGTGCCCCTATTGGCTGTGCAGCCCACTGAGCTCCGCCTGGCTAGGCTGTCTCTTGGCAGCCACCTGCTCTGACCTCTCCCCAGCCAGCCAGCCAGCCCTCTGTCCAGGTCAGCTGGTGGGACACCCAAGCCGGCCGGAGGAGGCAGGGGCTGAGGCCAGAGTGAGAGTGACGTCCCTCGGCCTCTCTCCCTCCCTCCTTGGCTTTGTTCCTCCCTCCCACATCTATCACCACTGCCGCCACCCGACAAGTGCTGCCCTGAGCCCCACAAGGGCTCTGCCTGCCACCAGTGGCGGGAAAACTAAGGTGCTCCAGCCAAGCGACGGACTTCCCAGTAGACGCAGGTGGGTGTGCCCTGGTGCGGGCCCCACTTGGCACTCCCCAATATTAAAAAACATTATTTCTAGCGAGGCCTTGTGGGGCCTGGCTGATGCGTGCTGGGGCTGGGCCCCTGGGGGACCCCACCGTAGCTACGGGCCTGGGCGGAGTACAGTGTGGAGCAAGAAGAAGCAATATGGCGCTGGCATTTCTGTGCCAGCTGGAAGGGAAATGCCGACTGAGAACTAAGTAACGCAGCAGAGAAGCCAGCAGAGTCCCCTCCACAGCCCCATCCCAGCCCAGGTTAAGGGAAGGCTCAGACTCAAGCAGGAAGCCCCACCTTTAGACCGCCCCACCTTCTCCCCACCAAGCATCCCTTGGCCCACCTCAGAGGAAGGGTCGCGGAAGGTGGCCGAGATCAGCCATCGGGACCAGGGCAGACTTCCCAACCCCATCTTTCCTCAGTAATGACCACTTTACACCTCACGGCAATAAGAAGTCAGGAAAGAACATAAAGACCCTCACCCAGAGAGGCCACGTTCCCAAAATCCCACCAGATCAAAAGATAGAGGAGGATTATAAAATGATGAATGAATTAAAGATAGCGGCTGGATGAAATAACTCTATCGTAATAGGTGATTAACTACCCACACATTGATGGGGACAGGAAGAAGAGATTGAGTTTCTAGACACTCTCAATGACTATACTATGGAACAGATGGTCACAGAACCTACCAGGGGAGAGGGGATCCTGGATTTGGTCCTAAGTAACGCCCAAGACCTGGTGAGAGATGTAAAAGTGATTGCACCGCTTGGGAACAGTGACCATAATGTTATTGAGTTGCCCAAAAAGACTGACACCACCACTTTTAACTTTAAAAGGGGTAACTTCTCTGATATGAGGGGACATGTGAGGAAGAAACTGAAAGAAAAAGTAGAAAGGACCAAAACCATTGGGGAATCTTGGAGACTATTTAAAATGACAATCCTAGAAGCTCAGAAAAAATATATACCGCAGGTTAGGAAAGGCACAAATAGGTATAGAAAAAAAGCCTGCATGGTTAACAAACAAAATAATGGAAGCTGTAAAAGGAAAGAAGGATTCCTTTAAGCGGTGGAAAGCTAGATTGGAGACTATTTAAAATGACAATCCTAGAAGCTCAGAAAAAATATATACCGCAGGTTAGGAAAGGCACAAATAGGTATAGAAAAAAAGCCTGCATGGTTAACAAACAAAGTAATGGAAGCTGTAAAAGGTATAGAAGGATTCCTTTAAGCGGTGGAAAGCTAGTCTCATTGAGGTTGATAAGAGGGAACACAGGTTGTGGCAAATAAAATGCAAGTCTGTGATCAGGCAGGCAAAAAGGGAATATGAGGAACATATAGCAAAAAAATAAATAAAGACCAACAATAAAACCTTCTTCAAATACATTAGAAGCAGGAAACCAGCCACGGAGGCAGTGGGGCCCTTGGATGACCAAGGGGTAAGAGGAGTACTGAAGGATGATATGGAAATGGCTGAGAAGCTGAATGCATTTTTTGCCTCTGTCTTCACTGTGGAAGATGAGAAGTGCTTGCCCACTCCAGAACTGCTGATTTCGGGAAGGGTATTGAAAGACCTGAGTCAGATTGAGGTGATGAGAGAGGAGGTCCTACGACTGATAGACAACTTAAAAACTGATAACTCATCAGGCCCAGATGGCATACATCCAAGTGTTCTGAAAGAAATCGAATGTGAACTTGTGGATCTCCTTACAAAAATATGTAATCTTTCCTTAAAATCTGCCTCCATTCCTGAGGACTGGAAGGTAGTTAATGTCACTCCCATCTTTGCGGCTAGGCTATCTATAGCATCTTGCTGGAAAGATATCTCCCCCCCTAACATTCAAACTT